TGATATATAGAGAGAGAGAGAGAGAGAGAGAGAGATTTGATAAGATAGCATAGTATAGCAGAGGATATTATAGTCTATACTGTATACACCATAGACTATATATAGGTGTACAGTATAGACTATCTCCTAACCTTATCCTTTATATAGGATAGCATATAAAAAATAGCATAGCATAATAGAGTATATGTGTACTATATATTACTATGCTATAGTATAGCATAGAATACTATAATGAATAATAGAGTATAGAATAGACATATTCTATTCTATTCTATTCTATTCTAGGATATTATAGTTTTGAATAGTAGAACACAGATATATTATATTATATGATATCATATTATAAATATTTAATATAAAGTTATATCATTTTATGTTGAAAAGGTATCACATCATCTTCGTCACTGATTATTGAATGTAGTGAAAGTTAATAGTAAGTTATTGATTTAATTAATAAATTATTCACTATTTATGAGTAAAACTCATCCTACACAAACGTGTATACTACATTAGAGTGGGGCAGTGATCAGGGAGCAGGGAGACACTGGTATTAAAGGTTCAGTGGCGAATTGAACATTTCCAAGCGTCAGTGAAGGTGGCGCCACCTCCTCCAGTTCTCAGCGCTCACTCAGCGTGCTCGCTCAGAGAAGCGGTGTGGCTGCAGAGAGACGCTCGTATGCTTCCCTCACAGGCACTTTAAACAGGATGTAGCGTCTGAGCTAGACCACGGAGAGAAAAAAGCGAAAGAAAAAAAAGAGAGCGGGTTAAGCACTGCTATGTGACACACGCCAGAGAGACAGCGATGACCGCCACGGCACAGGAGAAAAAGAGGACAGGAGTCCAGATGAGGCACCTCACCCCCGGCAGGTCTTGACGGCTGCTCCCGCTGACCGGAGACCCCCACCTCCACCGCCACGGCCGCAGCAGCAGTGCACGGTTTACGCACACTGAAAACACAACATTACCCGAAATATTTCACCCGTGAACCTTGAAAGCAGCCATGGGGAGCCAGGGAGACTGCTGTGTGAAGGTTGCGTTGAGGTAAGCCTCCGACGTCTGTCTGCTGGAAATCTGCAGACCTTAGCAGAGCACGCTTGTGTCTGTGCCTCCCGGCGATTAATGAAATGCATCATGCACACCTACAGTTTTCCACGCTCCCCGATGTCTCCGTCCATTTCTGGGATTCAGGAGATTACACAGCCACGGAGAATACCATTCCACCTTATTTTACTTGGGCGGCGCTCTGTACAGTATCGACAAGGCAAAAGCACGCGTTTGTTTCACGCTATATCCGTATTTAACTGTTCTCATGTGGTGGTGGTGTTGTGTGTATACGTTTGTATGCACAAGTTCTGCACACAGCGTCTTACATTCATGATTTAACATTGGGTGAAGTGACAAGGACAGCTGCAGCCAGGTGCAGGGAGGAGAATGGGCGTTTCTCTCCTAACCAATTTTTGCTGGGATTATTCTTACATGCACCTACCTGCATCTATAACCATGCCTAGTCAACAGCTTACATATGCATGACGGAGTTAGGTCAATAACTAGGTTAAAAAGCAGGAGCATTGTTGTGCTTAAGAACACAAAAAAGTGTCCTGCAGCAAATGAATCGAGCACAAAGAGAATCTCTCCTTCAGAGCTGTGACATTCACTGCCTTTGTTGGATTGGGGAGCACAGCAGCTCTTGAATTGGTGAGAGGAGACAGTTTTCTGCATGTGTGTGAGCAAAAAACCCCAAAATAAAATTTGATCATAAGAAGTGAGCATAAAAAGTGCTCTAAAACCTCATCTGTAATCATGCTCATTTTACAGTGTGCAAAGCTGTGGCGGTGGTCTGACAGACCCCACAGACCCCCAATTAACTCAGAGCCTCACAGACTGTCACATTAGCGAGCCACCGCCTTTTGGCAGTACTGCGTAACCGGCTTTCAATCTACACATAAAACAAACTACACAAACATAACTATGCTTCATGAAGCACCCATTTGAGGTCCTCACATCCCAATCCGGGCTCCAATAATTGATCTGAGTGGGGTGGGGGTTGAGAATGGGGGTGGGGAGTTGGTCCAGCAAAGCAGGCTTTTAAGATGAACTTTAAAAACACTGGCCCCATTTCCCCAGGGGAAGGCTTTATCAGCTGCCTCATTGTCAGCCACAGAGTGAATCTCCTTTGTGCTCATTCGCTGTGACAACTGTAACAGGAAGTGGAGTAGGTGGTGCTGACAGAAAAAGGTGAAAAGGGAAGCCGTATAGGCCGCTGGTGGCTGTCGCTGAACTGAATTTAGCGAAAGAGAGACCAGCCAAGAGGCCTGTTGATGTGTAAATGACTCAGTGACTAACACGTCTGCCTTTAGCTCCCTCTTGCTCCTTTTTTTAATTTACTTTTTGACGTTATCATCAGTTTGTGAACAGGTTTTCATTTCTTTGTTCAGTAAGGAAGGTCAGATCAGCAGAGGAGCATTATCTTCGCGAGAGTACCTCGGAATTAGTTTTATTAGCGTGAAAGTCTTGCTGTAATTAAACAGGGGCTAAGTAGTAACATGTAATTACTCTGCTGGGTGAGCCGATGCTGCTCCTTTTCATCACATGTGATCTGTGTGTGTGTGTGTGTGTGTTTGACAGGAAATGGGAAGCTTGCAAATAAACACATGGAAAAAGATAACTTCCTGCTGAATAAGCAGTTACTTTTTCCCAATGACCTCCGAGCCTCTTTTATTCCCAGAGAAGAGGGCCTTTGATAAGAGGGGACGCCGTTTAATTGCTCCCATCATGCAGTGCCCTTGGCTCAGAGCTTATGTCTGCATCTGCATGTGCGAATGTGCATTACGAGGGCAACGGGGTTGACGTGAAGGCCAACGAACGCATACTCAGTCTCGTGTTGCCAGCATCCAATTCCTGAGCGACCTACAATCCTACAATCCTGGATCCGTACGCACGCTTGAGTCAGTGGATCTGCATTGCAGACATGATCAGATGCATCTACTGTAATTCCCTCCTAAACAGTTGTTGTTAAATTGCCCCCGGCCTGGCTTTTGCGTCTTTATCCAGCTGCATCCATTTACAGTATCGGCTCAGTCGAGTGCAAGCAGGCTATAATCAGTAGATAAGTAGACACACTCACCATCACCTTCACACACACACATGCACTTACGTTCAGGCTCCCACTCTCGCTGGTTTTATGTTGAGTGTTGCATTTTGCACCCCCGGTTGAAAGCTTTACGTCAGGACAGACTCTGAGTGAGAGTGGCCCGCCAATAGTTCAGCTTTTGCACCCTTGCATGCGTGTTTGGTGAGCGGTGTGTAAATTTCCATTTGCATATCGATCTCTGTCCCCCGCCGTTGCCCTCTGTGCGGCTCCCTGCCATTTACTCATTTCAGAAATCAAGTGACTCGCCCGCTGCTGAAGTGCTAAGTCAGCCCCCGTAGCTGGGTAGAAATAGACTCAAAGACAAATCTGTTTAATGCTGTTGTGCCTCCTGATCTTTTGATTGTTACTCTGTGTTCTCACCTTAAGGCTCTGCTTTCTGTCTAATTTGAACTCGACTGCCCCCCTCCCCCTCATGGTTTTGTGGTTCTGGGGTGATGACAGTAATGAGGCTGAATAGGGGGAAAAAAAGCATAAAATATTCAGTGTTCCTTCAAACCCTACAGGTGGATGACTGGGTTGTTGCGGACAGTTATGACGCAGACCGTTTTGGCTAGAAGGCGATGAGAGTTCAGCTGAGGGGAAAGAAAAAGATGAGCTTTTATCTCTTGGACTCTTATGATGTGCTGATCAGCCAGTGTAAAAGACGTCTCCACAGAAGTTCTTCATAAATCCATTAATGTGCTCCACCGGCTTTGAAACAAAACAAGAGCAGCGGGAATATGAGTGGGGGAAGTGGCCCCTCACAGCTGACACACAAAGGATTTAAATGGGAGTTTAAAAAAAATGGTGGTGTTTTGTTGTTGGACGCTTGTCCTGTGTCGGCTACCAGTCTCGCCTGTTTCCTGTGTGTGTTAATAGTTTGCCACACGGGCTGTGTCTGGGTTACAACCTCCCAAGGGGGTTGTTGCTAAAACAGCTGGGTTTGGTGGGAAAGTGTGTGTGCATGTGTGTGTGTGTGTGTTACAAGCCTACAGTACTGTATTTACTGGTCACAGGGTAGTGCTGCAATGTAATCTCCTCATGGCAGGAGTCTTACACTTGGTCGCGACATTCATCTCCCACTCCCACACACAGTTACACACACACACCGATCACTGCAATGGGAAACGTATAAACAGTGTTGTTGTGTTGATGAGGCTGTAAAGTCGCTCGTAGTCGGCGTGTTTGGATTCGAGGGAGGCGAGAGGAGCAGGAAACATGACAGAGCACACGCCCAAGTTGGCCGTCCGCAGCTGTGCATCACTTCCTCCTCATGCTTGTCTGGTTGTGGGCACGTGATTTTATGTTCTTTGTTTTTGTTGTTGTTGTTTTCAAAGTTGTTGTTACCCTTCAAGCTAACCTAATAGCACTGTGAGCGCTTTTTTTGGCAAGTGTACTGAAGAAGCTGTCTGCTGTCTGAACTGAACATGAGCTGAGACCCGGACACGGTGATGTGCAGAAATCAGTCGTGCTGGGTGTTTTGTCCGTCACCCCGTTTATCACAGAAAAACCTGTTGAATAATCCGGCTCTGCGGATTCAGGGGCTTTACAAACAGATTGCAGCTCGCTGAGGTCAAAAAAGGTCTGCAGAACAAAGAAGTTAGTGAGGTTGCCAAGCTGCACTTCTTAATCCTGGTTGCCAAACAGTCACACAACTACACGTCTGCTATCAAGTGTATAATAGACTCATATGATGTTGTTTGCAAATGATCAGAGGCGTGAAGGAATTTGTTACATGTTTAGCTTATGTGTTTAATAGATCAACAATATTTAGGTCATACATGTGCCAGTGATCTGGAAATGAGTTGTGCAAGCTGTCTATTTATGAATTTGCTCTGTTTAAGTATATCTGTACTCCCTAATGGTGCGCTGCTGTTGCAGAATGACTTCCTGTAAGGTTGCTTCTGGACCATCCACACTTCCTGTTCACTTCCTGCTTTGTGTGCTGCTGTGTTTTCAGTGAGGACCGAATGCTAAAAGAAAGCATAAAGGTGAAAGAAACACAAACCCAAAGACGAGCCTCTGGCTTTTCTCAAAATAACCTCTCGGAGTAAGTCTGCGACTCTGTTGCGCGCTCCTGAGTTAAAATAAAAAACACGCACTGTGAGTGTACACATTTACGCCATTTTAAACTTCCCTCTCTTGCTCAAGCTCGTCTGCACTGTGTGCAAAATAAAGTGTGACCAAAACGCTGGAATGTGACCAGCTTTCTCTCTTCCCCTGGCTCCTTCTACCTCCTATTCGCCCACTTTTGCGCAGACATTCAAAGTCACACACACACACACACACACACACACACACACACACACACACACACACACACACACACACACACACACACAGATCTGTATTTGAATTTATCCATTTGAATTCATTAAGCAATGAAAGGCGCTTCAGTCCAGTCCAGCGTTTGCATGTATCTCTTATCACGGTGTCATCATATGTCAGCTGGACCACTAAATAATAACTCGTTCTGCTTGAACCACAAGGGCAGTCTTTTCACAGCGTGTGTGGTCAGTCTAGAAAATAATTATCTTTATAGACGCTTTGTGGTCTGCGCATTTCGATAAACCATAAAACCAGTTTGGCCAGTTTATGTGTGTCGACATTGTTGTGGTCACTCAGAGATCACTGGGACTGAGTGTGCCTTTGGAGGGGGGTGGGGGTGGCTTTTTAAACAGAGCACCTCTTGGGTGAGCGTAGACAGAGGACACTGTGTGAATGAGTCTGATGTCAGTGCAGGTCTTTGTGCGCTCTGCTGAGCTTGCACGCACACAGACACACACATATAAAGATGCACATGCACACAAACACGCAAAAAAGCCATAGAATTGGAGGGTAGACTAGACGTGGATGAAGTCCAGACTGTATTTTTAGAGAGGAAGGGGATAAAAAAAGAGAGCGAGAGGCT